GAGAGCGGAAACAGCAAGCTCTCTAATGTACTAAGCCCAGAACTTTGGCAAGGAAAGTTATAAAAATACAATATATTCAAATCAGTAACTTCATAATTTATTAGACATCCCATTTATTAGAACTCTAAGTTCTTATGCTTTTATATAAATGAAACAAAATTATTTATTCTATAAATAGGAATGTGTCTTTCAAATTTTTCTTTGGATTGACTTCTTGTTAGCAACTCCAAGGAATACATGAATAATACGCTGAAACTGTGATACAATGTTTAGGTAGATATACATATACATATGTGGTCATGTGCTTTTAAAAAATAAGTAATGATAACTTTTAAACATAATCAACCATATAAAACATCTAAGTGGAAATACTTATTCCCAACTCTACAGCTAGATTTCAAAGTCCTAGTAAAATTCTGTAAACAAAATCATATTTAAAAAGGCAAGGCTGGCTCTTCCCCAAGGTCCTTTAGCGGAGCTTTTATTTGCATAGATCCAAGACACAAGATCCTCCTGGACAGATTCAAAACAACTTCCCTCCAATTTCTACCACCAATCTCCCTAATTCATTTAACCCTATCAACATCACATTTAGAATTTTAGAGTCTTGTCTGTCAGCTCAAGTCTGTTCTCTTCTCCATGTTTCTGATTTGATGCCTTTCTCTTACTTTCTTCCCCCTTCCTACCAAGCCCACCCAGCCTCTCCCAGTCCAGGGGCTGCTGAGCTGCAGAGGAGCAAAGGCTGCCGGAGACCAACTGACAGGTGAGCGCACGAGCCAGCTGGCCTGGGCCTGGGAGCCCAAACAGGCTTTCAGTTTCTTTCCAATGGCTTTATTCCATGTGACTGTAAACTGTGCTAGATCAATCTGCGATCTTGGTACTGTGAAGCTCATGTGAAGCAACACTTGTCTCCAGACATTAAGGGAAGAGGGAAAATACGGGAGCAAAATCTAAGGTCAAGCTATCTACCAAACAAGGTGTTGGGCCCTAACTTTACTTTTAGTCACCTCTTGAATTGCTCAAGCTCAACTTGCCTTTTCTGTTTTCTAAACAAGAGGTTTTGCATTAGCTTTCATCTTCTAGACTGGTGCTGTCCAATATAGTAACCACCCCTCTACAAGTGGCTCTTGAGCATATAAAACACGAGTAGTCACATTTTCATGGAGATGTGCTGTGAGTGTAAAATGCACGCTGGATTTTGAAGATTTAGTACCAAAAAAGAATGTGCAATAGCTCATTAATATTTTTTTATATTGATTGCAGGTAGAAGTGATGATAGTTTTGATGAATAAGGTTAAAACACAACTAATTCCACCTGTTTCTTTGCACCTTTCATAAAAAAGCATGGCTACTAGAATAGTAAAGTTGTATATGGGGCTCACATTATTTTTCTATTGGACAGCTCTGTCTTAGAGCATAAGTACCTCTGACTGCCAAAGCTTGGACATCCTATAGCTGCAAACAAAACTTTCATTTGAGCCTTTGTTCAGCAGCTTGCTTAGGTGATCTGTGGTTCATGGAAACAAACAGGAGGCCAAGCATACAAAAAAAAAAGCATGGAAGAAGACAGCTCCTGGGGACTTCAATAATCGCAGTCTGTAGCAAATAAGCAGTGAATGTTTGAATTTGGTTGGTTGAAAGCTGGGATAAAATTTATCTCTGCCTACTTGCCAAAAAAGCCTATAGACTCCCAGCAGCCCACATGGGCTGGAGCCGAAGCAAGCAATGGCTCTGAGAATATACACAGTATAAAAAGCTAGGTGCGTTTCGTTACTGGATCCCTACCCTCACACGCGCATATTCCCACTCACTCTCCTTTCCTCCCTCCTGCCAATAGGAAGGGGACAAGGGGAGAAAGGGGGTAGAGGGTGTGCAACTCTCGGATAGCAAGGACAGGAGCAGCTCTCGAGCTTGCACAGAGAATAGCAGGCAGAGATCACCTCGGGATGGGAGGAAGTGGCGGAGCCCCCCTTTCTCTTCTGTTGGATCCACCTTGAAGAAAAAACAGACAAAATATAATTTTGATTAGAAAGCTTACATTCTCACTGTGGAACCCAGGGATGGCTGCAAAGGTGCCCACTACCTTACCCCTGTGACCAAGGCTGTAAGCTAACTGGTGTACCTTACATATGAGACATGAGAAGTGTAAGGAGAAAGCAAGTAAACATTACTAGACAATGACCCACCACTGGCTTCTGAGAACTCGTACAAAGTTAAGTTTTTTAAAAAAATGTTTTGTGCTAGGTACAGTGACTCATACACATAATCCCAGCATTTTGGGAGTCCAAGACGGAAGGATTGCTTGAAGTCAGGAGTTTGCAACATAGTGAAAACCCAACCTCTATAAAAAATAACAAAATCAGTTCAGTGCCTGTAGCATAGCAGTTAGCGTGCCGGCCACATACACTGAGGCTGGCGGGTTCGAACCTGGCCTGGGTCTGCCAAACAACAATTGACAACTACAACAAAAAAAATAGCCAGGTGTTGTGGCAGGCACCTGTGGTCCCAGCTACTTGGGAGGCTAAGGCAAAGAGAATTGCTTAAACCCAAGAGTTTGAGGTTGCTGTGAACTGTGATGCCATGGCACTGTACCCAGGGTGACATAATGAGACTGTATTAAAAAAAAAAAATAGTGAAATCAGCCGGGTGTAGTGGCTCATGTCTGTAATCTTAGCACTCTGGGAGACTGGGTGAGTGGATTGCCTGAGCTCAGAGTTCAAGACCAGCCTGAGCAAGAGTGACAGCCACTTGGGAGGCTGAGACAAGAGGATAACTTGAGCTCAAGGGTCTGAGGTTGCTGTGAGCGGTGATGCCACAGCACTCTACCAAGGGTGACAAAGTGAGACTCTGTCTCAAAAAAAAAGTAAAATTAGCCATGTGTGGCAGCAGGTGCCTGTAGTTAGTTCAAGCTACAGGAGTTCAAGGTTGCAGTGAGCTATGATGATGCCACTGCACACCAGCTTGGATGACAGAGCATGACCCTGTCTCAAAAAAATGCTTTTCTCCTTAGCACATAGTACATGTTTACTCTTGATTTAAAAAGTATGGATAAGCAAATACAAAGCCAAAAATTCTTTGGTGGTACAAGCCATGCTTGTACCACCCAGCAATAACTAACAACATTATGGGTACATTTTCCATTGGAAAATAGTGACTTTTTCCTTCCAGAAATAGGATCACATAGTTAGGCTGAACATCTTTCAAAGTTATTACTCTTTACAAATACAATTATTAATGCCACATTGCATTCTAATGTATGGGTATACTATATTTCATTCACTGAATCAATCCCCTTTTGTTGGGCATTCAGGTATCTTCTAACTGTAAACTGCTTTTTCCATAGTAGCCATGCTAATGAGTGTTAAGCTGCATCTCGCTGTAGTTTGATTTGTACTTCCCTAGTAATTAGTGATGTTGAGCATCTTTTCATGTGCTTATTGGCCAGCTATATCTCTTCTTTATAGAAATGTCTAGTTAAGCATTTATTTATCCATTTCTTTAAAGAGACAGGGTCTTGCTCTGTTGCCCAGGCTGGAATGCTATGGTGTGATCATAGCTCACTGCAATCTCAAACTCCTGGGCTCAAATGATCCCCCTGAGTAGCTGGGTACCTTGCTTAGCTAATTTAAAAAAAAATTTTAGAGATGGGGTCTCATTATGTTGCCCAGGCTGGTCTCAAACTCCTGGCCTTAAGAAATCCTCCCACTTTGGCCTCCTAAGGCCTATAGGCATGAGCTACCACCCCTGGCCTCAACCCATTTTTTAATTAGGTTTTTTTTTGTTGTTGTTAGTTATAGGACTAACTCAATAATAAATAATAATAAATTGTGATTATAATCCCTTATCAGACATATTATTTCCAAATATTTTCTCCAATTTCATGTGTTGACTTTTCACTCTGTTGATATGTCCTTTTAAAAGCTATCCACATTTGGGCAGTGCCTCTGGCTCAAACCCGGCCCTGGCCAAACTGCAACAAAAAACATAGCTGGGTGCTGTGGCAGGCGCCTATAGTCCCAGCTACTGGGAGGCTGAGGGAAGAGAATCACGTAAGCCCAGGAGTTGGAGGTTGCTGTGAGCTGTGACGTCACGGTATTCTACTGAGGGTGACAAAGTGAGATTCTGTCTCTAAAAAAAAAAACAAAAACAAAAAAGAAAACCTAAAAAAATAAAAGCTATCTACATTTGTGGGCTATCAGTGTATAGTAACCAGGTTTAAATCCCATTCATATTTTCAAAAAATTCACACATGCATTTATTGAAACTGTAACAGGTGTTAGGCACACAGTCAGGTGCGTAGATGCTGTGGGCGAGTCTACCAGGGCACGTGTCCATCACACAGGTCTGCTGTGACCACTGCTCTGAGATGAGGTGGGTCCACTGGCAGATTCCTCAGTAGACATTTTGACAGCAACCCTAGAAGTCCACTTAGGGATTTCTGAGATAGAACCAAATCTCTGAGCAAGCAGAGGAGTTAGAGGAAAACAATGGAGGCAATGCCTCTTCCTCTCACCATCCCAACCAAACATTTTCTTAGGCAGGCATCTGAGTAAAAACTCATCTGGATGCAAACCAGCCACCTATCATGGAGCCTTGACCATCAACTGACAGGCCACAGGAGGTCAGCAAAGTGAGGGCTGTCCTTGTCCAAAACACTCCAAGTGTCCTCTACCCTGATCAGGGCTGTCTGGGTACCCTTCCAGGCCATGGGCTTGGAGATGGAGGCAGCTATGGAAGCAGGATAAAACTTGCTACTTCATAGTACCTGATTTATTTTTGTTAGACAGATGACCAGTTTTCATTATTGATATTAAGCATGCAGAATACATTAAATACTAAAGCAGATTTACAAAAAACAAAAAAAGGTCAGTGGTCAGTGGAAACTAATTCATCAATTTAAGAATATTTTTAAATACCCACTATGTTTTAGGCTCTGTGCCCCTCAAGGAAGATGCAACAGTGAGCAGGACATAGTCCAAGTTCTCAAGTTGCTTATGCAAGTCTTAAAGGAGCACGGGGGAGGGAATACAGACAGTTCCCAAGTTATAAACATCTGACTGACTTACAACTCTCACAAAGGAGGCTATTACAGGTGATAGGTAACTATACCCGTCCCATCTTACATACAAATTCAGCTTAAGAACAAACCTACAGAACCTATCTCATTCATAACCCAGGGGCTACCTGTATGTGTAGCTATTAAATTAAAAATTCAGAAGGTAGGCCTGGCAAGGTGGCTCGCTACTGTAATCCTAGCACTCTGAGAGGCCAGGGTGAGTGGATCACTTGAGCTCAGGAGTTTGAGACCAGCGTGAGCAAGAGCAAGACCTGTCTCTAAAAATAGCCAGGCGCTGTGGTAGGTGCCTGTAGTCCCAGCTACTTGGGAAGCTGAGGCAAGAGGTTCATGTGAGCCTGAGAGTTTGAGGTTGCCGTGAGCTATGACACCACAGCACTCTACTGAGGACAACAAAGTGAGACTCTATCTCAAACCCCCCCCCAAACCAAAAAAAAAAAAAATCCAGAAGGTACAGGGAAAATGGTTCTGCTACTGATACAAGAATGTTTTTAAGAAGTCAGGACATTATACAGGATGGCCATAAAGTTAATGTGCAATTTGTACACCCTGTATTATTTAATACTATAATATACCATACTATCTCTATATGTATTCTGAGTTTATATCAACTCCTTAAAGCAAATTCATGTATCAACACCCAAGAGGGAACAAAACCAGGCTGTACACATATCAGACAGAAGCTCCTCTGTTCTTCTGATGAGAACACACACACCACCCAAAAACATGTGTTCTATGGGAAGACTTATTTTTCACCACAAATTTCTTTTTTTTTTTTTTT